TTTTTTTTTTTTTTTAATCTTGGCTTGTGTCCAATAGGAAATAGCTTTTTTATTCCACTCCATTTATATATCATATGAGTCAAATTTATGACATTTTGTTTCTAATGAAGGAGATAATTATTAAATTATTTAGGGATATAAGTCAAACTACGTTAAATTGTTGTCTCAATTTCTTTATCGCTTCCGTTTATGTGAGATTGTGGTACTCCAAATTCCCAACAAGAAGCCTAGTAGAAAATTTGACAAGTGTGGAATACCTTTGCCTGACTATCACCAAAATAAATTTTAGAATTCCTAGGACCTTAGCAAATATGTCCTCCTTAAGGTCCATCATTCTTGGCAATTGTGGATTGTTCAAAGAGTTCCTAATGGCAATTTTCCAACTACCAAAACTTCAAGTCCTTGTTGTGGGTGACAACCTAGGTCTTATGGATAATTTGTCTAAGTTTCAGTTTCACAACTAGCTTATGACTCTTGCAATTCATTATACAAGTTTTTTTGGTAAATTGCCAGCCTCAATTGGAATGCTCAACTCTCTGGAGTATTTGTCTATTGGTAATTACAACTTCTCAAGCTTATTACCACCTTCTCTAGGTAATCTTGCCAAGCTCCAAACCTTGACACTTGATAATAATAGCTTCATTGGTACAGTTTAGATTGACACATTTATTGAGCTCAAATACTTGAAAGATTCGTTGTTATCCCAAAACAATTTTCCATTGTTAATCAAAACTAGGAAGAGTACCAACACCATTTTTGCCAATGTTTTCAAACTCGAATCGGAGGTCAAACCGTTTTGACCTCTGGTTCGTGGTTTGAACGGTTTAATCCGTTTAACCAGTAAAACTGTCGGTTGATCAAATATTATAAATATATGATTTTGCAAAAGATTTCACACGGTGCAGGTGGGTTGCACTGGTAGATTGTTGATTTTCTATAAGAGAAATCTGAAGTTCAAGTCTCTTGATAACAAACTATAATATAATTGTGCTTTAAAAGTAGAATAAGTATATTGTAAAGCATCAAATTGACCAAAGAACATTGTGTTCAAGTGGAAAAACCTTTGTTCTACAACATGGAAAATGAGTGTTTGAATCTCATGCTTGTCATCAGCAATATGGTTAAAATCTTTGGGATTTATATGGGTTAAATAAAAGTCCAAGCACCCATTGACCAAAGGATTGCATTGTCTTGGTGGCAAAGGATCAACATAAAGACTTCAAGGTTACAAGTTCAAACCTCGTTGGAGACAAATTTCTCAAGATTTTATGCCCAAGCATTGAACTGTTCGGTCGAACGGTTTGAGCGATTTCAAACGGTTTATCGATTTGAGTGGTTTCAAACGATTTAACCATTTAAATGGTTTGAAGGATGTAATCAAACCATTTAGATTACCAGATACTGGTTCAATTGGTTCGACCGACAGATCCGATCCGATTTTCAAAACCTTTATTTTTGCAAAGCTAAAAACTCTAGGACTTGGTAATTGTAATTTAAAAGAGTTTCCAAGCTTCTTGCATGACCTGGACCAACTAGAAATCCTCAAACTTTCTTCCACTGACATTAGTGGCAAGATACCAAAATGGATATTGAAGTTCAGTAAAAGTTTGTCAATTTTGGACCTTTCCCATAACTCATTGATAAACTTTGAAAAATTTTCAACTTCCTTTCCTTCATCTACTTTAGACTCTTTAGACCTTAGTTTTAACCAACTTAAAGCTTCACTACCAATCCCTTCATTGTCCATTAATTTCTTTTTAGTTTTTGAAAATAAAATTAATGGAAACATCCCATTTGAATTTAGCAATCTAACTTCTCTCCAAGTTCTAGATTTGTCTCATAATATCCTAAATGGAATGATCCCACAATGTATTGATAACTTTAGTAAGTCCTTGGTGATTTTGAATTTGCAAGAAACAACTTCAAAGGTCTAATTCCTCCATCCTGGCTAGCTAGAAACAACTTAAAGGCAATTCAACTAGGATAGAACAATTTGAAGGGAAAGGTACCAAGATCATTGGCAAATTGTAGAATGCCAAAGTTTTTTGATCTTGGAAACAATCATATTAGATATATCTTCCCTTATTGGTTGGGAACTCTTCCTAGATTGAAGATTCTCATTTTGCATTTCAACGAATTCTATGGTGCAAATAATGTTCCAAGATCAATTCCTTATTTTCTAATCTTTAGATCATTGACCTTTCACATAATAGATTTGTTGGTCTTCTACCAAAAAAATACTTCAACGTGTAGAGTGCCATGGTAGATATTGATAAAGAGGACACGAAATACTGGCCTGCATATGACAATTATGAGTTGAATGGCTTCATGGGTGCCAATCCATTCCTTTACTCAGTGACACTAACAAACAAAGGAGTGAAGATGAAATTTGAAAAGGTATTAGATATATTTTCTCAGGATCTTGCAACAAATTTGGGGGAGAGATTCCACATGTAGTAAAGGAGCTTAAAGGGACTTCAATTGCTTAACCTTTCCAATAACATCCTCATCCTTGGGAAATCTCAAAAATCTTGAAGCATTAGACCTTTCTCAAAACAAGCTCACAGGAAGCATTCCCACGCAGCTAACGTAATTCAATTTCCTTGAAGTCTTCAATATCTTGCACAACCATTTGATGGGACCTATTCCGAAGGGGTAGCAATTTAATACATTTGATAATAGCTCATTTGATGGGAATTTAGGGTTGTGTGGATTGCCACTGTCAAGGAAATGTGACAACTCGAAGGCCTCGCCTCCACCATCTTCAAACTCTAAAGGAAATGAAGACTTTGGATTGCTAGCCGAATTTGGTTGGAAAGCAGTGGCGTTGGGTTGTGGATGTGGATTCCTTGTTGGTGTGGTGATTGGAAACATTGTTTTTGCAAGAACACGTGAGTGGTTGATGAGAACTTACTGAATCAGGCTATCAAGGGGGAGAAGGATGAGGAGGATCCAGTGAAGATGACTGTTTATCCGTTGGTGGTAGATATAACCTTTTGTTCTGTATTTCTTTTTCCTACATTTCTCCATTTTTTCTTCTTTTTTGTTTTGTGTGTGTGGATTATAATTCAAGTAGATGGAGTGCAAAACCAATGTATTGTGTGAATTGTTGCACTTTAAAGCTGCATCAATAAATTGGACTTCAACTTCATTAGCTACCTGACATGAATTTTACTAATTT